TCACCCGCCAGTCCCAAGCCGCTCAAACCCCATCAAGTAAACACAGACACTTATATTGGTTTCAAACTGTATGGCCGTGGCAGGCTTCTTGCTAACTGTTCTTACAGCTTAAATTAATCCATTTCTATTAATCTATACCTTGCCACGTGGCTTGTGGCTTACCGGTACTTTACATCTTCCTTGTCCTGATGGCAGCTGGCAGTGTCTCTTCCACCCAGCTTCCTGTTCTCTCAATTCTCCTCTCTGTTAGTCCCGCCTATACTTCCTGCCTGGCCACTGCCAATCAGTGATTTATTCATTGACCAATCAGTTTGGTTTCAAACTGTATGGCCGTGGGAGGCTTCTTGCTAACTGTTCTTACAGCTTATATTAATTCACTTCCATTAATCTATACCTTGCCACATGGCTCGTGGCTTACCGGCATCTTCACATACTGTTTCTCATCGTGGCGGCTGTCAGTGTCTCTCTTAACTCAGCCTTCCACTTCCCAGCTTTATTCTCCTCCTTGTCCCGCCTATACTTCCTGCCTAGCCAATGGCCAATCAGTGTTTTATTTATTGACTAATTAGCAACACATTTGTCCTGACTATGGGCCAGACAGGAAAACTCTAGCTAACAGTACATAATTCACTTTCTATCTTAACTTATATTACCAATAGAAAACTATCTTATGATGTGTTTCAAACTTATACACTTAATACCTCTTAGTGAGTTTCTTTTCTGAATTTATTAACAAGGAAAATTGTTACTACATCTATCTAATCTTCAACTCCCTCAGAGAACAAAGAAGGAAATAATATTACCTAGTAAAACAAGAAGTGCAAACAAGCAACTTCCAGACTTCCAAACAAATGTGAGTTGACAGAAACAGCCAGCTGCCTGGACAGTCACCCGAGGTTTCTCTGCACATTGGGACATCATCTTTGGCCTACAGGCTTAGCATATCTGACAGACTGATTTGTGAAGTAGGATGTACACAAGGCCCACAGCTCGACCTCACATTCAGTGCAAGTATTCCACATACCAGATAAACTTGAATTCTGCCAGCGTCCTGTCATGATTCAGGATTTAAATTTGGGAAATTGCTGGTGTTTTTGGAATTCGGCTGCCCATTCTTCTAGGCTTGTGGGAGGCTTCATCTCCTTTATTAAATGTCAGTCTACCATTGAGAGGTTAGACTCTGTCAGTCTAGTTACTCTTTCAAGAATAACTGTTTCAGTTACTGTTCTACTGCATACCAGAAGCCATCAGTCCACTGCCTGTTCAGCTGCCTTCGAAGAAAGGGGCACTGTACCTTTTCTGGATTGCAAAGCTACTTCAGCAATGGTGCCATATTGTTCTGGCCTCAGAGGACACCTGTTGCCAAAGCTGCAACCACTCTTGTCTTAGCAAGGATTGGTAGTCCTGTGTTTTGTGTCCTGTCTGTCCATTTTGTCCTGTTTGTCAGCAGTCAATTTGAGGACACTTTGTTGTCCAGTGGCTTTTTTTTGCAACAATGAAAGTTAACTCCATATGCAGTTTCTTCAATGTCCATATCTTCTCTGAAGTAGATTGGTGCTGCCAGGAGCAGACATGTTTCATAATCATAAAAAAGGGAAAAAATTATGTTATTAAAACATTTTAAATGCCATATTCTGTAGATCTCTGAATGGTTTGAAGATGATCTGTCTATCTAAAATATATCTCTGCTTGACCTTGAAAACATACCTAATATGACTACAAGTTCAATTGTAATGTCTAAGTACTAACTTTCATTTCTTTATATCCTAATAGTTGGTAATAATAACATTCAAGGCTTAGCAAAGTGCATTACATTGTTAAATGAACTATATAGGTATAATATCCTGAACAAGATTAGAAATATACATACAGCATTTTCTAACAATATCAGTCTTAATATATATAATTTGTAAAAAACATATAAAAATACAATCCAATGTAAAGTATTTATAACTAGTAGTTATCTTTTAAAAGTAGATTTAATAATCTACCTTTTTATCTATATCATATCTCTATCCTCTCTTTTTTCTTTTCAGAGTAGATTCAATTGTAGCTAGAGTTTTCCTGCCTGATCCACAGTCAGGACAAATCTCTCTCACCTGCCAGTCCCACAGCCGCTCAGACCCAACCAAGTAAACACAGAGACTTATATTGGTTACAAACTGTATGGCTGTGGCAGGCTTCTTGCTAACTGTTCTTACAGCTTAAATTAATCCATTTATATAAATCTATACCTTGCCACGTGGCTTGTGGCCTACCAGCATCTGCACATGCTGTTTGTCATCGTGGTGGCTGGCAGTGTCTCTGATTCAGCCTTCCACTTCCCAGCTTTATTCTCTTCCTTGTCCCGCCTATACTTTCTGCCTGGCCAATGGCCAATCAGTGATTTATTTATTGACCAATCAGCAACACACTTGACATACAGACCATCCCACAGCATTCAATAATATACCCTTTATTCTATATCTTTTTTTTTCAGAGTGGATTCAATAATCTACATCTTAACTATATCCTCTTTTTTCTTTTCTTTTCTTTTTTTCAGACACGAACCTTAAATCTAATCCCCTTTGTTTAGCCTCTTTCCTGAACATTAACAATAACAACTTGTAACCAACCATCCTAAACAATGACAACTATCTCAAACCCAAAACCCATTGAAGGACCAAAAACCACCTGCTCCACCTCTTGGGAATATGGGCATCATGTTTTTAAAATTACTTCTTGTTCATATATAGATCTAAAATATGACAGCAGCACTTCAGTAATTGCATATGTAAGAAATTTTAGAACTTTTTCAATATTATTATGAAGCAATTTAAGATATATCCTTCTGAAATAGTTCATTTTTGTTAGTTAATTGTACTATGTTAGTCCTGCCTATCCATGAGCATGGGAGATCTTTCCATTTTCTGACATCTTCTTCAATTTCTTTTTTCAGGGACTTAAAGTTCTTGTCATATAGGTCCTTCACTTGCTTGGTTAGTGTTACCCCAAGGTATTTTATGTCATTTGTGGCTATAGTAAAGGGTGATGTATCTCTGATTTCCTTCTCCACTTCTTTGTCCATTGTATATAGGAGGGCTACTGATTTTTTTGAGTTGATCTTGTATCCTGCTATGTTGCTGAAGGTGTTTATAAGCTGTATCAGTTCCTTGGTGGAATCTTTGGGGTCGCTCAAGTATACTATCATGTCATCTGCAAATAGGGAAAGCTTGACTTCTTCCTTTCCAATTTGTATCCCCTTAATCTCCTTATGTTGTCTTATTGCTCTGGCTAGAACTTCAAGTACTATATTGAATAAGTATGGGGAGAGTGGACAGCCTTGCCTCGTTCCTGATTTTAGTGGAATTGCTTTGAGTTTCTCTCCATTTAATTTGATGTTGGCTGTTGGCTTGCTGTAAATTGCCTTTATTATGTTTAGGTATGTTCCCTGTATTCCTGATCGCTCTAATACCTTTATCATGAAGGGGTGTTGGATTTTGTCAAATGCCTTTTCTGCATCCAGTGAGATGATCATATGGTTTTTTTCTTTGAGTTTGTTTATATGGTGTATTATATTGACAGACTTTCGTATGTTGAACCACCCTTGCATCCCTGGAATGAATCCTACTTGATCATGGTGGATAATTGTTTTGATGTGTTCTTGGAGTCTGTTTGCCAGTATTTTATTGAGTATTTTTGCATCAATGTTCATGAGGGAGATCGGTCTGTAGTTCTCTTTCTTTGTTGTATCCTTGTTTGGTTTAGGAATTAGGGTAATTGTAGCCTCGTAGAAGGAGTTTGGTAATGTTCCTTCTGTTTCTATTGTGTGGAACAATTTAGAGAGTATTGGTATTAACTCTTCTTTGAAGATCTGGTAGAATTCTGCGCTGAAACCATCTGGTCCTGGGCTTTTTTTGGTTGGGAGACTTTTAATGACTGTTTCTATTTCGTTAGGGGTTATTGGACTATTTAAATAGTTTATCTGGTCTTGATTTAACTTAGGTATGTGGTACCTATCCAGTAAGTTATCCATTTCTTTTAGGTTTTCCAGTTTTGTCGAATAGAGGTTTTTGAAGTATGACCTGATGATTCTCTGGATTTCCTCAATGTCTGTTGTTATGTCCCCCTTTTCATTTCTGATTTTGTTGATTTGGATGCTCTCTCTCTGTCTTTTGGTTAGTTTGGATAAGGGCTTGTCTATCTTGTTGATTTTCTCAAAGAACCAACTCTTTGTTTCATTAATTTTTTGTATTGTTCTCTTTGTTTCTATTTTATTGATTTCAGCTCTCACTTTGATAATTTCCTGGCGTCTATTTTTCCTGGGAGACTGTGCTTCTTCTTGTTCTAGAGCTTTCATTCTTTTAAAGACTCAAGATTTTATATTCTCTATTATATTTGAACAGATAAAATTATATTTACCTTATACTTGTGGTATAAACGCAGTGTGTAACTAAGGGAAAGAGTGTTAATTAACTACAAAAACTCATAGTTTATAATTCCAAGTATCAGTGGAGTCCCAATCAGGAAATTCATTTTTATCTCAATTCAATTAAGACTTACACATTACTTAATAGATTATAAATCTGACTTCATTCATGATTTGATTTTACTTTCATATTTGACAATTCTTTTTTTTTTTAATTTTTACAGACAGGGTTTCTCTGTGTAGCTTTGGAGCTTTTCCTGGAACTCACTCTGTAGCCCAGGCTGTCCTCAAACTCACAGAGATCCATCTGCCTCTGCCTCCCGAGTGCTAGGATTAAAGGTGTGCACCATCACTGCCTAGCCTTGACAGTTCTTTTTTTAAATTAAATTTTGTATTTAAGTATTTTTCTAAGCACCTACAAAAATATGACCCTCCTAAATTTGTCAAACTAAAATTGCCATAGTTAAGATTCTTGGAATGGAAATTGCAAAAGATTCACTTATAATGAAAAAATGTAAATAATTTTATGTTAGTATAATGTACAGTTACTTTAACAAGGGCAAGTTTCCTTAATACTGCTTTTCTTCCACAGATTTGGATTACAATTTTCTTTCATACGGAGAAATTTTTGAAAGTGCAGAAATCAATGGAGAGAGGTTACTAAACATCACCAGGAAGCAACTTAATGAACTTGGCATAGTCCGCACTGACCATCAGGATATACTGCTAAAAGCAGTTGCTCGTATTCATCAAAAGGTGAGTTGAGGGGTTTCTCTCTGTATTGCTAGTCTTTCTACTTAAAAAAGAAAGATGAGTTAGAAGCAAGAATATACATTGCTATCTGCTACATGGTCTGAAATAAATCTCCATTTTGTATCTTTCCAGTTTTAAGTTATGATTTCCATAGACTTTGACTTTTGTGTTTAAGTGCTCTGGTGACAGTTTCCTTGTATTTGAATTATAGCTCTGTTTGAAGTAATTGTTGCTTTCTTAGTTTTTTTTAAATTATATATATATATATATATATATATATATATATAATGCATCTTGATCATATTAATCTCTTGCTCCCTCCCTCTACCTCCTCCCACCCTTCTCCCCCAAATCTTTCATCTCCTCCCAACTTCATGCCTTTTTATTTATAACCTAATAATTGTAGTTACTTCTGACCATATGCACATGTATGTTGAGTCACCCACTGTGGCATGAACAACCAACCAGTGACCACACTCTCCCAAATAAAGGGGTCTGTCCATCCCTCATCATCCATCAAGTGCTATTAGCTCCTTAATTGGGAATGTGACATTAAGAACCCTTTGCCCCTCTATGCTGATCTCTTAATATTGTGGATATCTTGTGCAGGTAACCATTGCTGCTGTGAATACACATGTGTGTGTCAGTCATGTCATATCCAGAGGCCAGACTTTCACAACATTTCTCTGCCTCCCCTGACTCTTGAATTCTTTCTGCCTCTCTTTGGTGGTGTTCCCAGACCCTTTAGGGCAGGTTAATATAGATGTTCCATCAATAGCTGAGAATTTCACAGTTACTTATTCTCAATATTTTGCACAGTTATAAATCTGTGTATTAACCACTACCCTCCACAATAAAAACTTCTGAGCAAGGTTGAGAACAGAATAAATCTATGGATATGAACATAAATATTTAGAACGGTGTTTGACATCATGACTCTACTAAAACAACATCAATAGGTTTTCCTTAGAAACTGTGGTTTGATTAGTCACACCTTTCGATCATTTTTTTTATAGTACCAGACATGAATTTTTTTCCCACAGACCAGACATCAAATAAAGTCAAGAGAGCAGCTGGTTACCGCTGTAATAATGTTTTCCACTATTGAAAAAAATGGAGATGTCTTAATTGGAAGGTTGTTGATGTAGCCTAGAGAGTGTCCAGTGTTGGATAAGACCATCAATGTTTTCCTACCCCAGAAGCTTCAAATAGTACTTCCCAGTACTATGAAAACTAACCATCAAGGAGATAGATTTCTGTTTAGTTCAATGTTGCTATCTCTGTTCTGCAACCCAAGTGTGGTATGTCTTCAGTAATAGAGTCTTACCAATTAGTTATGATGGTAACCAAGAGCAATAACCATAGACCATCTGAGGTTTCAGGGACCAATAACTGAAAGGAAGGGAAATTTTGCTTGGCCCTGAGATTTTCACTTAATAACCCATGCCTTCTAGGAGCATCATTTTTCACCCATATGGGACACCTCTGTTCAAATTGCAGAATTGCACATGATGCTGTAGATATCTGTTTCCTTGCCTAGAATTAGAATTACCATTTTATAGTGACAACCAACCTGAATCTTAAAAAAGTGGTGTATAAGGGCATACTTACTACTGCTTTAAAAGATTAAAACTGAATATTTTACTAATAAAGAACTTTATTCATAGTAAAATATATTTGTCCATCAGCAAGTATTTATTGAGGACCTTTCTTTACTGGAGTAATTTAAATGATTCCCCAAGTTTTCATTGAATAGGTTTAAGAATTCGTCGATTTTAATAGGTCAAATTCTAAGTAGATTTGAATATGCCATCACTTTTGGGTGAATTTTATTCTTCTTAAATATAAACTTATTTTTTCAATAATTTTCTCCATATTCTAGTTAGAATATATGAATTCAGTAGTATGTATAAATTAATTACATGTTGTATCTCATTTAATTAGATATTCAACAGTGACTACTCACCAGAAAATATCATGTGCATCCTTGCATGAGGCCACAATGAAATGATTTAGTCAATCATAGAGGTCTTCATTATACATTATACAGAGTTCCACTAACACTACTTTCTTCATGTAAAATTTATAGTGGAGACTACTCATTATATTAACAGTATAAGTTCTTGTTTAAATACCATTTTAAAATATTTTCTCATGACAAATATTAATATTATTAGTTTTTCTAATGTAACTAACAATTATCTAATATATACTACTAGTGAAATTCTGTGGTTCCTTAGCCTCAAATTAAACTTAATGACTAGGTTACTAAGTTACTCATCCTTAGCATTGTGTTTATGTTTGATAAAGGGTAAAAGACATTTTTGCAAAGTATGAGTTCATTTTTCCTTCAACTTTATTGAACTATTCAGTGTCATGGACATTAATAATTTCATGATTTCTAAATATTTCATGCCTGTGTGTTTATCTTGTCAGAGGTTTGTCTTAGTAAAGTTACTTTGTATGGCTGTCCAATAGTGTAGGCCAAATTTTATTGAACTTAAAGTACTATCATTGAAATAAAATTTTACCACTGCTTAGTATTGTTATTAATTAATTTACCATTAACAAAGAAAAATATTATCATTTACATTGCTCCAGTGCTTTATTAGCACACAAAGAAGAAATAATATACTGTTTTAAAAGATTTTTAAAATATGTTTGGTATGGTCACATACATTCATAATCTCACAATTGTGAGAATAGGGTAAGAGGATGGAGAGAGTTCAAGGCCAGTCATTTCTACATAACAAGTTTTAGGCCAACCTGGGATATATCTATTCTCAAAAAACCCAAGAAAATTAATAAATAATAAAAACAAAGTCTAAAACACCCTGTCTCTCTAATTTGTGGAAAATGGAATCCTTGAGGTCTGTATTTATGTAACCTGAAGGACTGTCTTTAATAATATTTTGGACAATTAAACTATAAAGGTACACATTTCCCTAGAGGTCATAGAAAAATGAATTTTTATGTAGCTGATTGAGCATTGACTTATGGTAAGACTATTTTTGACTCAAATTCTGAAAATGAACCAAGTACCATATCATATTTTAACTAGACATCTGAGGTTCTCAGGATGGAACAGTGATAACCTATTAGAAGGCAATAGTCAACAGGATGTGTACTAGAAAAAGAAAAAGAGATAATAGTATAGGTTTTAATAATAAATACTTAGGAATTCATTTTTTATATTATTTTAAATGATGTGTACACATATCTATCTGTGTGAGTGTATACTGCATATATGCAGGAGCCCATGGGGGCCAGAAGAATGTGTTGGAGTTACAGGAGGTTGTGAGATGCCTGATATGGATGCTAGGAAATAAATTCATGTCCTTTGGAACAGCAGCACATTCTTAAACACTAGGTCCCATGATGTTTACTTTGGTTTTTTGTTTTGTTTTGTTTGATTTTGTCAACATGACACATATAGTGTTATCTAAGAAGAGGGACCTCAATTGAGAAAGCGCCTCCATCAGATTGGCTTGTAGACAAGTCTGTGGGCCATTTTGTTCATTAATGTTTGATGTGTGAGGCCCCATCCCACCGTGGGTAGTTCCATCCCTGAGCAGGTGGACCTAAGTTGTATTAAGAAAGCCAGCTGAATGTGCCATGGAAAAACCAGTAAGCAGCATTTCACCATGCTCTCTGCTTCAGTTCCTATCACCAGGTTCCTGCCTTGGATTCCCCAGATGATGAACTGTGACTCAGAAGCCAAATAAACCCTTTTCCTCCTCAAGTTGATTTTGCTCATAGTATTTTGATATAACAGTAGAAGTTAAACTAAACACCATCTCTCTAGACCTCAGAGATTAGCTTTTTTAATTAAAAAAATTGTATTCATTTTACATACCAATCATAGATACCCTGCTTCCCTCCTCCTGCCCCTCTAGCCTCCCCACTAAACCATCCCCCCCATTCCCTCCTGCAAGAAGGTAAGGCCTCTTAAATTGTTTTTTTACTACAAAGGAAGGGTGAAATCTAAAATATGAAAGAGACAGTTTGCAGCAATTATGAAATATAACTGCACTATTAGACATATGTTTAAGAGATAAAAACCCATCAGTTTCATCAGTGTCAAATGGAAGGTAGGTAGATGTAATAAATATATGTACATATTTAATATGCATTTTCAGAAGATAAAATGAAATAGTACTGATAGGAAAACATAATGTAAAATAACAATTTTATAGAACTAAGATATGATTTCTCTGTTTTTGAAGGGTGGAAGATCAGGTTTAGGGGTAATATTTTGTTGTCTATCAAAATAGTAGATGAAAATTAAACCTTAAAGGGGTAAATAAGCTTTCTCACTACCAAAGTAAGTTAATGGAGAATATCAAAAAGTATGAGTTGCAAATTTTGAGGCAATATTATTAGTAATACTGCTTGGATTTTGTAGCATGGAATGAGATAAAAAGTTGTGTCTCATAGTATAGTCAGAGTTTTTACAACTATGAGTTATGAAAAAGGAATGTCAGAAATGAATATCATCATATACATTTTATAATGATAACAGTTCTTATATTTGCTTGGTGAATAAATAAATAGGGGTTTATGTTGGTGAAATTATTAAGGCCACTCCACGTAGTTAAAAGGAAGGTTTATTTTGTGGTGTAACTTACAAGTAAATAGATAGTTTACAGAATCTGGAAAAGGCGTAGCGCAGTCCAGCGGTGTTCTCTGGAGACGCAGTCTACCTCCTGCGTCCAGGGTCCAGGAACCAGTTACCGAAGCCTCAATGGGGGTTGGAACTTCCAGATCAAAGCTGGAATGGCTACCCACTACAGGTTTAGAATTTTTTTGGTTGAGAAGTCTTTTGAATGAACTAAATTAAGAAACAAAAGATGAATAAGGGTGAAGGAAGAATGCATAAGAAGGGGCTAGAGGCTATCTGACATGGAGGGGAGAATTAGAAATTGTAATAGATATATTTATGAAGAAGGGCATTTTTGGCTTTGTATCACAAATATATGATGAGTGAATTCTGAGGTAATTCA